AAAAAAAAAAAAAAAAAAAAAAATTCAGAGCTTTAGTAAAGCCCTTGCCCTTCGGAATAAGTTGCTCTCTCTCTCCGGGTGTTCTTGTTTGTCTTTGTTCAAAGCTGGTGTCATACCTATGGCATAGCGATGTCTGTGATAGTCTTCAGTGTCTCCTTTCTGACAGGATGTAATGACTTTGAGAGGATCAACATCACTCTGTAGCACAAATCTCCAGCCCATTTGCTGAGTTCTTGGATCAGCCTCCCATGCCAGAGCTTTATCAGGGGAAGAAAGCTCAGGCTTACTGAACTCTTGACCTGGCTTGTTTTGCTGGGACAGCACAGCCCACACAGAGAGCTCTGAACAAGGGCTAATGTTGACTTTTCTGCGGAGGTTGTATACTTTCAAGTGTTTCAAGATGGAGTCCTTAATTGTGTTGTCACACTCGAGGAAAACACCATATCCTCCTTCTGTTTCTTTTAATCTGAAAGCAAACATAACTGGATGAGTGACTCAGAAGAATGCAAAACAACATGAAAGCAAACACACGCAGATGTTTTCACTTATTTTGGTTGGGTGACCTTTGGTGGAACTTTGATGGAGCATCTGTGGTCACCCACTGTGTCTTACAGATAGGAGGGCTAATAATTCTCTCCTTATGAGAATGTAATTTTTAACAGGATTTGCTGTAACATCAAATACTGTCAAACAGAGCAAGGAGTTTTTAAACAGCTTAACAAAGTACTACAAAGACTAGTAAAAATGCTGTTTAGATATCAAGATGAGTTATGAGTAGTGAGAACTGCAACAACTGCAACTTTTCAAAACTGGGGATATTTACAACCAGGTATACAAGAATATCATCTTAAATAGTTTAAGGTATAGAAAACGTGGTTCACCCAACAATGCACATCAAAACTAAAAGAACATTGATCATGTGTCAGTCACTAAAAATTTGAGATGCTAATATTGCAAAATGTCTTTTTGCAGTTTATTAGAGAAGTTCTATTCTATAATTTAGATGTACTCAAGTACAGCATACATGACAAACGCTTTTTAATATAGAATTTTAAAAATGGTTTCTACTTCAACCATCAACATTAGTCGTTTTTGCTTTTTAAAGTTTTATTAACATTATTTTTAGTAACAGTAAAAAATAGGCAAGTGATAAAGAAGAGCTGTTGTTGTTCCCGTGCTGAATTTTACAGCTTATTAAATAAGGGTTTGTCAGCCTGAGCTAGTTTTCTGTCATACATTTGGTTTTTTCCGGGGTTTAAAAAAATAGAAGGAAAAAGAAAATAAGCTTATGTCGGCCAGTGTGACGCCTCGGGAAAAAAAAAAAAAACGCCTTTACGTAAGCAGTAAGCAGACACACCCTCTTGATAACGCGTTTACTGAATGCACTTATAAGCGTTTGAACAGTGCTCTAAGTTTGCTCTTACCTGTACAATATGATGTCATATAGTGTCCTTCCTTGCACGTTTAGCATGTGTGCGTATAAAGCTCTGTGTTCAGGCTCATCCAGCACCGCCATGTCATTGGTTATAATACCTTGGAGAAACGCGCTCGTGTCTTGTCCCTGAATTTTCAGCAGGCTCCTGTGCGGAAGGTAATAGCACACAAATTGCCCCGGGGAGTGTTTAGGATTACCGGTGTCCTGGCTGTACCTCCTGACACGGATCCCAGCTGGAGCTAACACACTTGAGAGAAGGGTTACACACAAACCTCCGGGTTTTTTCCTGGCGTAAACACCAAGCCCGGAGGCGGACGCCAGCACTCCCCGAGCAAAGCACAAAACCCCCATGATGTACAGTGGCACGGGAGTGTACTGAGTCGTAAAAAGACTGCCTACTCCACTAAAAACGACAGTGGACAGCTAAACACCAAGGATATCATAGCGTACTCTGCACAAACAGCTCCATTTTGAAATCCCACAATGCATTGCTCGATAGCACGTGTGTGTCAGTGAGCGATATTTGTTCCCGTCGTTTTCTCGTGAGGTATGAGACGCTTATTGATAGAATAAAAGCTCTCCTACTATCTCTTTATAAAAAGTTATCAGATCGTAAAACATAAAAACGACACACAGAACAGCAAAGCAGCAAAAATCAAAGTTATTAAAGTTGCTTGTTTGCGAGTTTTTTGCATATTCCTCAGTAATGATATCATTTTCAAATTTTGAGTGATAGGTAGACAACAAGAACAGCTCGAGCTGATTTAATTTTGTCAAACGTCTCACCAAATGTAAAAATAATCAGTAAAAACTTTGTATTACACACATTTTTTTATTACAATCTTCAAACTTCACAATATACTAGGCCTTGAGGGACATGAGTACCTAGGTTGGCTAAACATATGACAGATAGTGCTCAAGGTCAAAATTGACTTTGAAAATAAAATGTAAAGAAACCATATTGAGTAATATAGTATATGAAAGGGCATGGAGAGAGCTGTACAACCCTCTGTAGAATGACACCATAACAGGCTGATACCAGTTTGTAATAAAAGCATCAAAGTTTTAGTCTAGGCCAGGGGTGTTGAACTCCAGGCCTCGAGGGCCGGTGTCCTGCAGGTTTTAGATCTCACTCTGGGTCAACACACCTGAATCAAGTGATCAGTTCATTACCAGCCTCTGGAGAACTTCAAGACATGTTGAGGAGGTAATTTAGCCATTTAAATCACCTGTGTTGGATCAAGGACACATCTAAAAACCTGCAGGACACCGGCCGTTGAGGCCTGGAGTTCGACACCTGTGGTCTAGGCCTTGGCCTTCAGGGGGAGTAACGCTCTGTGAATGTTCTTGTTTTAATACTATCGTGGTGCTGTGAATCTGTAAGTCAGCGGAGTAGCCAGCTCCCACATTGTGATGTTGATCTTTCATTAGCTGTGATTTTATAAGACAACAGATTAAAATAATTAAATGTAGGGCAACTAATATTATTTGGGCAAATGGAATGAGAGATAGTCTGAAAATTTCCTATATGTACTTTAATAGATGCATATGCACAGTCTGTAGAGCTTAAGGTTTGGCATTGATTACATAAAAAGGAGAAATGGCCTTTATTTTATTTGAATGCAGTTTGCCCAGATTCATATGAGCACAAATAGAAATTAAACTATGTCAGTAAGTAAGTGAATATATTCATTTATTTACTTAAGGAAGAATATCTAAAAGCTAAACAAACAAACAAAAAAGGTATCTCTTCAGCTTAGGTTTAAAAAGGTTCAGAGTCGATGCTTGTCTGAGGTCACTTGGGAGAAATTCCAAAGTCCTGGTGCAATGACAGCAAAGGTATGACCCCATTTTAAGATAAGGCTTAACCAGCAGATGGTCAGAAGTGATTGAGAAGGACCTGCTGTAACATCCTAACTTTCTTCAATGCTCTAATTTTTAGTCAGACTTCAATAAAAAAAACAACTTTAAAGCGTTTGCACTTTTAGAAACACTTTCTTTATTAGCACAGAGTGACAAAAGCAGAGTGCTGCTGTAAAGACAGAAATCTGAGGTTTCAAACAAGTTTATCTTTGTTCCATAAATAAAATACTTGAACAGTCTTTTAAGGTTTGAGGCACTTTGTTGTATGAAAACAGCGAAGGCAGGATTAACCATTATTATGAAAGCAATTATAGAAACAGAAAAAAGGTAATAATCTCATTTAACATGCCAAGACTTAGGAGCTTATTGAATAGCTAAGGACAGGATTTGTACTATAGCCTATGTCTATGCTGTATGTTCCCAGCTGCAAAGCATGCATCATCTGCTTCAGATTGCATAAAATCAGTATTTAGTCTATTTTCTATTTACTTACCTCTTTCTGTTCAAATGTGACACTGCAAGGCTTTGGGACACATTGATTGGCGATGACACTAAAAAGATTTAAAGCTTTCAGTGTCAAACAGTTATATGTATATAATTTTACATTTAATTTTCTTGAGGGGACACTCATCCATACTACATCCAGAAATACTTCTAATTTTAAACATGCATCTTTCTAAAAATAATAACATTCATCATTCTTCAGAATGAGCCATTGTGCATGTGTACAGTGTCTTAGACTGCATTTTCAGGTTTAGATCCACTTGTGTCCTTTCAAAGTAAAATTTCTTCAAATCAGTCATGGTAATTCGCTTGAAGCAGTCTGTTTATGCTTTGACATTTTAATTGGAAGTAGATGAATAAACTGAGCAAGCATTTGTTAGCTTATAACCAAAATCTATTGCAAGCACAATATGACACGCTACAGTAACAAAGAAGATTTATGATACTGGAGTTAATAATTCCTTCGTGTTTATTTTCTATTCCCCCAAATTGTCTTCCTACTTTGTACTTCTTTAAAATAGTGAGACTGAAATTTCACTTGTTATCATCCAAAGTTGTATCTCACACAAACACATCCTCCACCTGGTCACTTTGAAATTCTGGGGACTTGATAGTTTTCACTGTTATCTACTAAAGGAAATTTATCACTAGATCCAGACAGAAGTCTTCCCATTTTTTACAATGGATGCAGCCTTCTCTGTGGCTGACTTGGGTCTTGCTCCTTGTTTCTCTTGGACTGTATTAACTCGATTCTGCTCAGCCATAGTGCCTCCCGACACAGGACTACTGGTTCTGGAGGTTTGTTGGTTGTTTTTGGTTTGGTAGGTTTGAAAAGCCATATCAAGCTGCTCTTGTGCAACCCGTAGATGCCGGTGCAGACTTGCAAGATCAGAGGGGATATTCTCATCTGGGCTGGTGCACTGCTGCTCCTGGGCCACATTGGCCATATTCTGCTCATGTGTGATGAGGCTGTTGGGGATCCTGCTAGGCTTTTCTGTCTTCATCACAAGATTGTACCCTGGAGGGGACGCTGGGATGTTACGGGAGAATGGGTAGCCGTATGACATCCGCTGGCCACGGTTCCTCTTCATGCGAAGAGTATCCCGAAAAGTGCCAATCCCCAAGTGAAGCATCTCACAGACATTTAGCACGAGACAAAGACAGCTTACCACATACATAATTAGGAGGAAGATTGTTTTTTCTGTGGGCCTGGAGATGAAACAGTCCACTCTGTGTGGGCAGGGCACCCTGTTGCATACATACGAAGGATTAACTCGAAAACCATAAAGGAGGTACTGTCCAGCAAGGAAAGCAATTTCAAAAATAGCTCTTGACATGAGTTGGAGGACATAGATTCTCATCAGGCCTTCTTGCATTATTTTTCTGCGGCCATCGTATTTTGGTGGGTCTTTGCTAGTACTGCTTACTGGTTCAGGTTTGGCCTCCTGCACCTCCAGTGTATCCTCATAGATCATTGGCTCCGCATCGTCATCTTCCTCCTCCTCTAAGACTTCCTGCAGATGGTGGCTCTCTCTCCATCTCAAGTGAGGAGGTGGCTTTTTGCGAAGTCTTTGCTGCTTCCTGCGCTCCTCCTCTGAACTTCGGGCAATCTTGTGGATGGCATAACCCATGTACATGACAGAGGGAGTGGAGATCATGATGATCTGGAAGACCCAGAAGCGAACATGCGAGAGGGGAGCAAATGCGTCATAGCATACGTTGTCACAGCCTGGTTGCTTGGTGTTGCAGGTGAACTTGGTCTGCTCGTCCGAGTAGATGGACTCACCTCCGACTGCTGTGAGCACAATGCGAAAGATGATGAGCACAGTCAGCCACACTTTCCCCACGAAGGTGGAGTGGTTGTGGATCTCTTCCAGGAGGCGAGTGAGAAAGCTCCAGCTCATGTTGCTCTAAGAAGCTTTTCAACTAGAATCTGTTAAAAAGAAAATAAGATAAGTAATAATTAAATGTAAGTAAGGAACTATTCAAGAGATGTTTTGGACTGATGATGTGAACATTTTACATTTTAGCAAACTGTCATTTAGAACTGTAATGAACTCGAGTCTTTGACTAATCAACCCATTGTATTCATTGTGTGGTGTTCTCTAACTAAAATGGTTTTAAGTGACAATTAAATTAATTTTTTTACTCTCCTGTATAAAGATACAATTACCAAAAATATACAAAAATATTATTAAAAAACCCCCGCAGCTTTTTAGATCCCAGGAAGACGATGACACGAAAACAAACCCAGAAGTAATTTACAGTCCCTGAACAGCAAAGCATCTGAGTTTCCTTAAACTTAAGACCAAATTATAGTCTTAAAATATTTTCTGTTAGTGAAGTTTTCGCTGAAAAGTGTGGCGTCATTTTTCAAGAGAAAGGCAATTATTGCAAATTAATTTTAATTTTATAATAAAGGTGTTTCACTGATTTTGTTGCTATCTCAGACTTAAACAGTCACTTTGCAAGCATACTTGCCGAAACATACAGTGTGGACCTGTGACCAGCTCACTTGGCTACTTCTTTTTGTAAAGGCTATTTCTCTTTTCAAGTGATTGCACAGCCACAAATAAACAAAGGCTTGTGTTGATGCATAGGGTAAAGTCATTAGGACATCCTGGAATAGTTTTTGACATGGTTGAAATAGTACAAAATAGCTCAGGGAAGATTAAAAGACAAAAAGAAAGCATTCCATCAGCCAGACAAACAAACGCGCCATCAATCATTTGATGAGACAGAACAAAACCGATTGCTACAAGAAAAGAACTCGAGCCAGTTCGGAAACCAAAGAGCGCCTCTTCAGAAACATACTGCAAGCTTTGTTTTAAAACTCCACGCCAATGATCCTACACAGAAATGAGATCTCACAGTGTCATACTCTTCTCATAGCCTGCATCACAACTGACTCAGTGAGGCAACTGTAATGGAGGGAAACAGCGTAGTACTTCTGTCCCTTCATTCATGGTTCACGGTGATCTCATGAATGCAACACTGCATTCCCTGGCGTGTGATGTGTCATCACGCTTAGATTACTGTAATTCCCTATTTACTAGCTTGGATAAATCATCTCTCTCTCGCCTCCAGACAATACAAAACGCAGCAGCCAGATTACTAACTCGCTCTACCAAGCGTGTTCACATCAC